ACACACACACACACACAAGGGCATTTAGAAGCAATCAGCCCTAGAACACGATGGCTCTCAAGACCAAAAGAACTGGATGGTGCCGGGCTACAAATGCCAACCACTCAGGAAAGGGTCAAATCTGGAGATCCTGGATAGAGTGGGAGGGAAAACAAGGGACAAAATCCAAAAATTCAATAATGACCAGAATTACTGGTCAGATGAGGTCTGGTGAGACTCCCAATACTATGGCCCTGAAATACATTTGGCACCTGCAATAAAACTCACCCCCAGGGGTGGGCTCTCAGCCCAATAGTTAACAAGATGTACACACAGACCACTCAATCCAGGATACAGTGCCCACCCACTCAGTGGTAATACATCCCTTAGAGCAATAGACCATGTGACACCAAAGGACCAACATTCAAAATGAGGAAATGCAGGACAAATAGGAGTGCACAATTATGAGGGGCACAGGAGGAGGGTTGCAGGGTAGGGAGGGGAGGAGACTGGGTTAGGGGTTAGGGTTGGACATGGCGAATGGGGAATGAAACTAAATGTATGCGTGACATTGAATGTAAAACAAGCTCTTAAAATAAAAAGAAAAAAAGAAAGTTAAGTCTTCCTATCCATGAGCATGGGAGCTCTGGTAACATAGTACCTAAGGCACATGACTGCTAACCAGAAGGCTGGCAGTTCAAATCCACCAGCCACTCCTCGGAAGGAAGGTTGGGCAATCTACTTCCACAGTGATACTGCCTCAGAAACCCAAGGAGGGGGTCACTATGAGTCAGGTCCCACTCGATGGCAAACAACAACAACAATCCATGAGCATGGTATGTTCTGTTTATGTAGATCTCTTTTGATTTCTTAAGAGCAGTAGTGTTTTGTATATATCTCTGTGTAAGTCTTTCACATCCCTGGTTAGGTTTATTCCTAAATATTTCATCTTTTTGTTTGCAATTGTCAACGGTATCGTTTTCCTGATTTCCTCTTCAGAGTTCTTTTTGTTAGTGTACAGGACTCCAACAGATATTTGTATGTTGATCTTGTACCCTGTGACTTTGCTGAATCCTTCTGTTAGTTCCCCTAGCTTTCTTGTAGAAGAACTGGGATTCTCTATGCATAGGATCATATCATCTGCAAATAGGGATAGTTTTAATTCTTCTTTACCAATTCAAATATTTTATTTCTCTCTTGCCTTCTTGCTCTGGCTAGAACTTCCAGTACAACAGTGAATAAGAGTGATGATAAAGAGCATCCTTGTCTGGTTCCTGCTCTCAAGGTGAATGCTTTCAGTCTCTTCAGCGAGAATAATGCTGGCTGTTGCTTTTGTTGTTACATGTCCTTAACTATGTTGAAGAATTTCCCTCCTATTCCTATTTTGCTCAGAGTTTTTTAAGGAAAGAGTATTGGATTTTATTTTATGCCTTTTCTGCATCAATTGAGATGCTCATGTGATTCTTTTCCTTTGTTTTATCTATGTGGTGGATTATGCTGATTAATTTTTTAATGCTGAATTATCCTTGCATACCTGGTATGAATCCCACTTAGTTATGATGTATTATTTTTTGATATGTTGTTGGATTCCATTGGCTAGGATTTTATTGAGAATTCTTCCATTGATAGTCATGAGAGATATTGGTTTACAATTTTCTTTTTTAGTTATGTTGTTGCTTGGCTTTGTTATCAGGGTTTTGCTTGTTTCATAGATGAATTCAAGAGTATTCTATCCTTTTCCGTTTCTTGGAATATTTTGAGTAGAATTGGAGTCAGCTTTTCTCTGAACATTTGGTAGCATTCTCCACCTAAGCTATCTGTGCCAAGGCCTTTTTGTTGTGAGAGGCTGTTTTTTTAATGACCTGTTCACTATTTTCTCTTTTTTTAGAGGGAAATGCAGTATTTTATTTTATTTTTTATTTTTATTTTTATTGTGATTTGGGTGAAAATTTACAGAGCAAATACACTTTCCATACAGCAGATCACATACACTTTGTCTCATGACATTGACCACGATTTAGCACAATGCAACATCTCCTCTCCCACTTCCTCCCGATAGGTACTGCTTCCCTGTGACCATCCTTCCTTGC